TAATACATAAGAAATCCTTGTGGAATGTGGAACAATTGGCCGCAATTTGAAAAAAACACACAGCGTCAGTTTTACACTGCATACACGAGTACTACAGTTTTACTGTAATTTACATTCGTTAACAGTCGTTTAACTTCGTACGAGTCGGAAACGAGCTCTGACAGCATTGCAATTACATTAATTAGCTCTGAAAATGTATCGATTTTTTACCAAGTGTGAGTAGCTACGCGTACGATAGTCTTACTTGACCTAGAAGAGGGTCTTCGTCCATAGTGTACGTTTGCTAAACATGGCGTTGGATTCTGATGATTCATTAATATCGCTCAAACAGTGGGTTGGTATAATATGTATGTACCTATCTATTTCTATGCGTTTTGTTTGATGCTCCTCCTGCTTTTTACACATCTTTTATAGTAACAACAATCGATACATTCTATTAACGATCCAATTTATAAATGAACTTTTCTTGAGTAGATTGATTAGCCATTATTCTTTTACTAACGGTGTGAAGTGTTTTGTGTTACAGAACCAGTCAAAGATTATTTAGCATAATATTGCAGTCGTAACAGAGTCTATTGTCCATTGTATCATACTTCAACACTTCTACGACAGTTATATTTTCTAAAATAATATACCATAGGTATAGTACAATAGTTTTATCTTGAGATATTCACGTCATAAAACAACATCACACTGTGGCACACACAATATCCACCTACGTCATTGGTTGTTTAGGATCTTCCTTACTGTAATATGATATGCTTTTAGTATTATGAAATATGGCGTGGACTAAGGTGGTATAAGCGGAAAATAACCGGGAACAAAACTGAGTACTGAAAAGACATAAAAAGTAAGAATGCAGGCAAAGGCATTTTTCATTACGATGAAGAACGGCGAGCATTCAAATGGAACCGTTTTCAACTCTACATTGCACACTCTAGCAGCCTTCAGCTGTGCACATTTTTAGTAATTAATTATTCTCAAACATGTTGTGTACCTAGTTTCCGTGAATGTCGTATTATTATCTGCTTAACGAAGTAGAATGAACAATGTGCCAGCCTTCAGACAGTGACATCAATTGTTTCAGCAAATAAGTGCTGAAACAACCTTGTAGCAGTATATGGCTAGATGGGGGGCTAAAAATAACCATAGGTCAGGGGTCAGTTAATGGTATGCGACTGACCTTTATGGTGAACGATATTGCTAGCAAAATATTGATTTATGCAGACATATATCAGATTATCAGACACCTTGACCTTGCGAAATTACATATTAAATTCGTTTTATTTGATGCTAAAAACGCCATTAAATTAGCATTCATGGTCTCTGCGTGATAATCTAAAACATAAGATATCATTTGTATAATAAGCGCTAAAGTAATTGGAAAAGCTATTTCTACGTGGCCATTAACAAGGTGCCTCCTTTATCAATAATCGTGTTATTTAGCGGGTTTGAGTATTAATTTTCAAATGGTAAATCTATAATCTTTCTAATGATTAAGATAATGGATCACTTGTTTCTTTGTTATTTGGGATTTCTATTGTATCTACCTCTACCTACGTAATATGTAAATTTATCTTAATCCTGTAATAAACCTGGTGTAAATTTATGGCTTTACGGTTGGTAATACCAAAGCACGCACTTAAAAGCAAACAAGTGATTTTTCAGTTTCATAAATAACCTTGGAATATTCCCTGCGCGTAACTTTGGCCTTCATAGACGGTTGGTTCGATACACGGGCACTGACTTGGTATACAGTTGTATACAGATATCCTTTCCAAGGGCACTCCCTGCGGGCGGTTTATTGGTAGTACATACACCTACCGAACATAATTTTAACGTGCAACTTGAATGTTGCTATCCCGGCAACTCTTACTTTATGGTAGTAATTACTGGCACTGCCTACAAATAGCCAATATCCAATCTAAAGCCAGTTTGTTTACCTTTAGTTCGTGCTGCACCACCGCTTGCGGTTACTAAGATGTGTATAAAGTGAAAATAATTTTATTACTATAAATATTTACTTTTATAGTGCTCTTTGAGTTTGAGTGTGTTCGTGATTATTTAGTTAGTTATTTCGTTTATTGGCTGACATCCGGGTCCGCGTCACTATGACATTTTCCGGACTATATAGCGTTACGCTGCGTGCTAACGGTTGTTACTTACTTTTTAATGGCAATACCACACACTTGGTAATGAGGTGTTAAATTATAACACAGTGAAAGTATAGGTTTAATTACGATCATTATTTTTTAAATATCTGTTGCTACAACAGCTCTATTAGAAAAACTTGTAAGAATTTCAGGTAGCATTACCAGAGAGATGTAAATCTGCATAAATGGGTATCTATACTTATGTTCTGTTAATATAATTTGCGAAGAGAGATTTCAAGCTGGTTTATCACTAAAGAGCTTGTCATGATGACAGTTGGTACACAAAACCCACAATGTTGCAACGGAGGAGTCTACGTAATACCTTAACACTCATTAAATTGTGGAAGATATAAAACAGTTGTAACCTTTCAAATCATGTTTAAGAAATCGGAATGATTTATTGGCTTAAATACTTGTAGAGTAGAATGTTTTCATAGTATGATTCATTGTTTACAAACGCAGGAAGCCCAATACTCACAACTTTACAGCTGTGCTACGTGTAGTCACGGAGGTGGTCGAGGGTAACGTGTAAAGACAATACAGGATTATGTAACCAATATGTTCAATTTTATTATCACTCTATTTGGCTTAAAATAATGCTTTCTTTTCGTCATATTGCGCACATCCTCTTGATATATATATCTATTGAAATCTTTCGCAGATAGTCTTTTGCGCATAGATAGGATTTAGTAGAGGTAGACGTACTTGTGTTTAATATAAGATGCTTGTGAAGGTGTACATAGCTTTCATCAGGATAGTTTGTGTCAGATGTCCGATTAAACATGTAATGGAGGCTTTTAAGTACTCGTATTTTACGGTTTGACATTAACTAATTTCCGACAAATAATTAGTTCAAGATAAGGAATAAGATAAAGATAATACAATTATAATATCAGCTCTTGTCATTGTGATACCTATCTAATTAATAAATAATTTACTTAGTTTTAATAAACGTAGGTATAATGCATAAACATATTCCTATCTATAGATTGCTAAGATAAATTGACAATGATACTGCGCAGATAGTATCGTCCATTGGGATTTTCTTTGTATTTCCATTGTTCTTAGTTTTCTTTACAATTCAAGTATTTTTTTAAATTTCGTGGGCACCTATCTGATAAAAAACGTGCAGCCGAAACGATAACTGTTATCTATAAGTGGCTAACGTTCTTTATTATTGCTACATAGTTTCCTTCCACAATTTCGACAGAAACTGAATTCGAACTAATTGAAATTGCGTAAATGGATTATTTTTTATTAAATTCATTGGCATTAAAACGTTCATACCCGTTTTTGTGGATGTGTGTGATTGATTTATATCAGCTTCATTATTTTATTATTTTTCATTAACACACTCTCTGTAAGACTCGAAACCACTTCAACTATATGTGTAAATATGTAGATCCCTCCAGATTAAAATTAAGAAAAATAAACATATCTGCCAGTACCTATTCATACAAATTTGATGATAATACATTATTATTAATTTATCTAATAATTTATATTTTATATATCTAAAAACACCAGGAAGAAAAGAAATGAAAAGTTATGACAACTCTTTGTTACCGTAAATATAATAAAACTGCGCATCGTTTGAACACAGATTATTAATGCAATGTTTAATACTTATTGTGATTAGTTTCAAGTTCTTATCGATTTTATACACATTTGTTTTACTATAAATATAATATCTTGTGTAAATTAAATACCTATAACAATGTGCGGTGCAGCTCTATCGGATTATAAACTCGATAAAATATTAAACAGTGTTTTAACTAATCATGTGACACCGTTTTAATAAAGGTGTATTAAAAGAGATAATAGGCAGGTAAGCAATCAATTGTACTGATTGTCGTTTGAATTATTTCTTATTATTGAATTATATTATATTTGATTGTATCCGCGAACGTCAGAAACATTATTTGAACATATTTCTTGATTGTATCGTGTACATTTGTTTATTTGTTAATACCTGTGTAATAAACTAAAGCCAGTAAGAATGAGTAAATCACTTCCTGACCGCTATTTTGTTTTGAAAACATTTTATTATGACTAACTTTAATGATTTACTGTATTGTTTTGTTGATGGATGAGTGTTATTACGTATAGATGGATCTACTTACCTACATGGATTCATACGTCAATCGTCAACTTGTGTCTTACTACTCTTTGGAGCAGATGTTCTTCATCGTTTTTTATGAGTCAGTGTATAATCGGCATTGATGTAGTCTGGAAATATTCTCTTCACTAGGCTAATAGTTTATGTATTTATATTACACAAAATTGTATAACAATCTTTGTGAAAATTCTTCATTCAATACTTGTTTATGTTGCGTATTTTATAACATAATAACTACGTAAATTCTATTGTTATCATCGTCACGGCCACAATATGAACTTTGTCCTCTAGAATTTTAATTTAGTTTTTCTACATACACAGAGAGGCAGCTACGCCATAATTGGAAACAGTTTCCATGCTTCATGCGTGAAATCTGTTCTTAAAACTGTTCTTTCGGGTACATATTAATAAGGCACTACCTACTTAAAAAGCCGTATTTTCTATTAAGCTACTTGAGAGAAAACCAACTCCGTCCGTTGAATATATCCAGGTCTTTGGAATATAAACAAATGCCCAATAAACTGTAGTGTTCTATTTTAGTCCGAGTCGTTATGGAGAATGAATGTGTTTGTTGTAGCACTAATGTATTTAATATACTGCTAGTGAAATAAAGCGTGACTTTCAGAATAACCTGAATTGAATTAAAAACCTTACGGAATAATAAAGCAGGCAAGTGTATGAACTCATAAAGATAACTATACAGTTTCCGTTTGTCTAAAGTGCCTGAAATGAGGCCGTGGCGTGAGATAACGAGCAGGAACGAGAGTTGAAACGTTAAAAAGTAGAGCTGGGAGCACGCTCCCGCAGAAAAATCATCATGTAGTGCTCTGTTATTTCCCCGGGAAGGAAGTGACGCCTCCGCACTCGGGGCTCTTATTAACCTGAGTTCACGGGATTCAGGGGATCGCAATCAAGCCTCAGACGGATTTGCGACGTAAACCAGGTCACAAACAATAGTGACTTACTTCTGCTTTCAGTCAGCATTTCTTTTTATGTCATACTAGTGAAAAGGTTACTAGAGTAGCGAAATGGGGGAAAACCAGCCTGATCAATTCCCACCACCCTATTGGAAGACTTTATTAAAAGAAAATTTATTATTGAGAAAGTTAAGAAGCTGGGAATTTATAATTTGGAAAGTGTCATTAAAATATTTGTAAATGTCAATCATCTGAATTTAATGAACAAACACATCACGAAATAGCTATCAATGGTGTCCTTATTTCTGTGTAATAAATACAGAAGTTGCACAAACGCGTACACCAAAACCCGGAACAAGTACCTGTACGTCGCGTCGTACAATATAATGTTTCTTCCGCGCTGGAATCGACCCGCGGCATGTAATCAGCTCAATTGTCGTAGCCAATTGGTCGACTACTGCGTCAACGTCAAACGTCTATACATCATTCATAGATGCCATCTTGTAATGTAGGCAGTGTTTACCAATCGCAATCTTTAACGCTGTTGTAAGTGCGGTCAGTTTCTCTATTAGAAATAAAAGTATTGTGCCATGCATAAATTAACAGAATGTTGATCTTTGAACTCATTAATTACATAGACACTCAAGCATACAACGCTAGCACATCCATGTAATACCTAGGCTTAAGCAATTTAACATTTAAATCTGGGCGACGCTAACAGTTTTTATCAAATTGCGCTTATGGTTACATTCCTGTATTAGTATGCTCAACGTGTTTAACTTGAATATGATGATGATATCATATTGGTACCTAGTGATTCATGAGATTTTTATAGTGTATACTCAAGAATGTTCTAGTTTGTTGGGCAATTAACTCGCACTACAACATGCATAGTAGAAATAAAAACTAATCTGATATTTTATAATTTATTGACTAAAAGGTATTCACGATTCAATTGAGACATATTTTCCAAATAACACGAAGGAGGTGGGTATCTATGCGTGATTCATGAGTTATTTGCGCTACCAGTTTTTATTTTGTACTATTATTATTGAGTTAGCGTGGTTGGCTTACTGGTAATGAACACATGGTGGATAGGAGCGTTGATGATAGTAGTATAACTAGTCTGTTGTTTGTTTGCAGTGTTATCTGCGAGCGCATTGAGCGCGGGCGGCGGCGTGGGTGCGGTCCCCACGCTGGTGTCACAGTCTGGTCTTGGTGTGGAGGTGGACATGGTGCAGGAAGGCGGCGGTGCGGCAGGCGATGGTCTCATCGCGCCGCGCCGCGTGCCCAACCCTTGTTTGGAGAGCCCACAGCGTATGGACTTACACAGGGAGCTGCTCTTTAATCAGAGGATGTAAGTGATATTACTATCGATAACGCCCCTAATGTTTATAAAATACATATCATAATTATAATAGAAAGCGTGAATTGTCGGCGTTGTAATGACTTAAATAGAACTCTACATTAAATTACTTCTCTAAATTTTCTGATATAAAATAGCTACTACAATTTAAAAGGCACTGTTCCATGTTATCTTTTACACTGCGTAGACACTACATATATTAATTAATTGTTATCAAAACTTTGTAACTGTAGGTTATTAGATATAATAATCAGTAACAAACTCTGTTGAGGAAGGATATGATAATCCATATGTCCTAATTTATTTATATTTTGAAAATTTGAAGAATATTTTAATAGTACTTACAAAAATCATTTCATGCTACATCGTGAATCTACCGATCCATAATCGGCCTGACCTCTGCATTTACGCATTTCTAATGACTTCTCGAAAATGTTTACATCGTAACTGACTCAGATGTATTTGGAAATTCTAAGAACTTTGACACGCGAGTCATCGTCATTTTCTTATAAAATCAACGCAGATTTATTTTTAAAAGATATGGCTAAGTTTGGCCCAGTTTTCAGAAGTCCAGTGCACTCTATCAAGCCGCTTTTATCTAGCCTTTGTCCGTTTTTATAATGGAGTACGCTCTCAAAACCACTTTGTGGGGAGGACAAGAGACTTGACTTGAAAGCCTTTTACTGCCCGTGGCAAATGTCAGCTAAAACTACCATTTTCTTTCCTACTTATTGTCTTAAAACAAAAAATTCAGGATTTCTTCAGGAAAACCGCTTCAGTCTTTAAAATTTAATCATAAACTCTTGTTACTTATCTGTTAACTAAAAGTTATCTTATCTTGCTATTATATTGACCATAGAAAGCATGTTAATTCGTAAAATAACATTGGAAAAGGTGCGGCGATTACGGTTCTATGATAAGCTATCTTGAATAGAAAAGACATTCCATTAGGTACAGGTGTGATAATAGAATGAATAAATGGTATGTCATCCTTCATTTTTAATGATATCGGAATACAAGGCACAAACGCTTAACTTCAATCATAATATGACGGGTGATGCGCGAGTTACAGCGAGTTTAGTTTTTGCATAGTCTAAGTTTGGTACGGCTCCAGCGCACAGGTGCACCGCATCCTGTCCCGAGTGTTATGCACCCGCTATAATTATTGAACATCTGTTGCCCGAACCGCGCCGATCGCATTGTGCGCTCCTACCATCTTTGTGAAATCAACAAATGTTGAAAGCATTATATTGAAAACAGAATAGCTTCACAGTCGTCGAGACCTGTTGATTCAGTCCATTTCCCCGGCAATGTGATTGTCGGAGCAGACTCGTCCTGTTATTTCCGTGCTCGGCTGCCAATGCCGCTTGACGGAAGGAAGCAATTCCCAGTGTACTAACGGGAATTCTATGCCTTTATAACTATGAACATAATATACCTACTATATAATAAAAGTATACATACGACGTTGACAAATTAAAAAAATAGCGTAAAATCTAGAACGTAAAAATTAAATTGTGATTGGCGATTGCAATCAAATGTAATTTGTTTCGCATAAGTAATGCCAATACGTATGTATTAAGAAATTCTTTAACGATATCGTTTCAAAAATGCAGTAAACATGACTTTAGCCAATTGATATAAATCTAAATTAAATTGTGTTTTTGATAGCCAGACTCTTTTATCTATGTAAGTATAATTGTTAAAACACATGGAAAAATGTGTATGTATAAAGTAGATTTATAATTTTACGCTTCGAATTGTGTAGATGGAACTTTTCTTGATATTAGTTTTCCTTGGGAGAGACGAGAGTGCAAGAGGATGGCAATATCCTGACGAGCGACGGCAGTAATTAGTTGGGATTAAATCACGCTGACTATCTCCTGGCATAAACTCGGCAATTTAGTGTAAATCTCTCGGATCGTTAGTAAATTAATTGTAAATATGCTCTAAATAACTCTACGATTGCAGACGTGTTTCTGTTTACATTTTGCGCATACTCCTAACTAATGTATGTTGAAATTTATTTCGAAACGTTATCTGCATTATTGTTGATAGAATACTACGATAGCCTATGTAAAAAAGGTTTTAGTGTATTAAAATGATAACTTTAGTTAAGATTGGAATGTACCTACTGTTGATTAAGAGTAAACAGAAATATTACACCCGTTGTGTTTCGACACAGATGTGTAGTAAAACAAACAAGACATTGCAGTAACTTGTGACGTCATACGTACAAAATAGTCCACACATGCAGGTATTGTGCGTGGGAATGCCGCTAGGGAACTGTCTCCATATGAACAGAAGCAATTCAGACATTTTTTACTCTATCCATTATTTTACTTGATTGCAACGGAATTTTAGAATTTCTGTTGTAATTAATTGCATTCAAGGATATTTCGACACCGTTTCTCTGCAATAAAATTGCATTAATTTTCAACATTTATGTATAGGATTATAAATTACGATATTTCATTCTTGTAAGTAGCGCGTATTTCAGAAATCAAACATCTATCGTAGCAGAGTTTCAGACGTAATCTACCTACGCATTTTTTCGTGATTATGAGGAAAACAATGTTAATTAAACGTTATCGTTTTTCAGCATAAATTAGATATTATTACAAACATTGTTTTGTACATATAATAGAGATATGAGATAATCCTAACTATTGAAAAAATCCAGTTCTTATCAAGAAGTCTACGTAATATGTGCCTATCATCAATGATTTTCGGTCGCTGAATACATAACCATATATGGTAATGAATTGTGCTACGATTTTGTCATCCGCGATAAGATTAAGCTGATATCTTATACGTTACACTATCTTATCGTGTAACATTACGTTACGTCTGATTCTTGGTAGGTAGGCAACGGCTATCATTCCTAAACCAGTATCTAGAAAAATTATTCACTTAACAATACCATTATGTAATGTTTTTTCTTTTACTTTCCAGAGGTAAAAATGTCCTCAACCAAAAAAGTGAGCTAGAAAAGGCTCTGTCGAAACACAAAGAGAAGCAAATAATGAACCAAGTGAAGGAACACAGGGAGACACCAGGTAAATGTTATAACATAAAAAGCAATTCGTTTTATTATGTCCAACGGTACATGTTTCGTCGAGTAAAGAAATTCGATACATCATGCCCCCTTCTTAAAAAACCAAGTACAGTGACCTTCGTAAATAAAGCGATGGTTTGCGATGAGGTTGCTTATGTTATCATAATAATCAGTCATTGAATAATGATTCCGATAATAGAAATATTGATTAATTTACAAGTACTGAAAATCCATATTGTTTAATAGAGATTTCTTAACCAATCACGCAACTATAGTATGTAGTTAGTTAGTTATTAGCCTAGTTAATAACAATGGTTCACAGCTACTGGACCTTTGTCGCCTTTGTGATAACCATGCTTATCAGCCACATCCTGCCAATGTTTGCTAAAATAACCAATAGGTAATATGCATTAACCACGACAAAAAAGCGGATAAGTTACCGCAAAAAAATTAACATACAAGGAGGCTACGTTTTAAAGTTTGTATTATAATACACACATCGGTGTCAGTCGGTCAGGACACAAAGGCGTAGTTTTACTATTACATCACAGCATTATCACGTATTTGATATAACATTAGGTAACTGAATCATTAAACTGATCGGCGAGCACGTACCGCATCCGGCGGCGGCGGTGCCGTATGGCTTAAGTTACGTGTCTTGGTCATTTTAATCAAATCTTACTACCTATCTTTAAGATTAATGGCCAGACTATACCACCGATCATGTGGTAAGAACAAAAAAGTAAGATAGGATTTGAAACCGGGTTCACTTTTACTCTCAAAATATTCGTTGAAGATTAAACCGGAATTCCTCAAAACTCGTATGGCGTTTGGTGTTTTTTGCTCGCATATTTGGACGCGGGCTCTTTATCCGGTGCAGTTCAATATGAGCCGCAGGTGCACTCAGCGGCCGTTCACCCCGAAGGCCAATAATTGTGGACACATTCCTTGTAAACATTCAATGCAGGCATACTACATGCCATGTAATGCTCATAATGCAAGTTTCGTGCGTGGTACCTGTGCGAAAATTTCCTCTAATTGGTTTGCGGATGTCGATGACCAAGGTTGGATGAAAGTGAAACTGCATCTGACTATTTCCCGTTTGTCCGATTGGTCAAGCACTGGAAGACATTACTGTGATAGATAAAGCTTGTAGTCGCTAGTTTTGCGGTTTCCTTATAGCATCATTAAGTGTTTATGTTTTATTTAATTAAATGTGTCATTAAACGATTTACTTATGTACAGTTAACTCGGAAACTGCTAGAGCGTTTGCGAAATAGCGCAATAGCCGCAGAGTACTGTTAGCAAACTCGATTAGTCTTTGTTCACAGTCTCATATTTGATTCAATAATCCAATTACAGTAACATTTTATTTCTCTTTTGCATTTTAATATATTTGCTAATAATTTCAAATGCATGAAATTGGTTTTTAGAGATAATAAAACCAGGCCTTTCTGATTGCTATGCGCCTAATGTTATATTATCATCGTATCTATTTACATAGTTTCATATTAATTATTCTTAAAGATTATACAAATACTGTTTTTTGATAATTTTCAACAATTTGTTTGCTAAATTTAAAGTTCGAGTTTACTCCAAAAAATCGGAATCCTAGTTATTAACTAACACGAAAATAACTATAATTCTATTTTCAACCAAAAAGTCAATGCGTGTAGGACATATTTGAACTATGCGTCCAATTTTCCTGTTAATAGTAGCTAGTGTTAACTGTTGATAGCCTTTATTTATCCTTGTAGAAACTACTAGAAACGAACTGTCCACCTTCACTTGCGCCTTGCACAATATACCTAAACACTGACACATTACCTAATCGAGGTATACTTCAGTGTCCTTAATGTCCTTTTATGCTAACAATATGTTTAGAATGAAGCGATTAGATAAAAAAGTTAAGGCTATTGGTTATTTTTAAAATATCCTTAATAGCTAGGTTACTATCGATTTAAATATAATACTCTTTTTGATATCATTATTTCTCAAGGTTATTGTTCTATATTTTGAAAACCTTTCCAAATTCGCATTTAGAACGAAACGTATATGAGTTTATAATGAAGTCTAGTCTAGGATTCTATCTATGAAATTATAAACGAATGTAAACAATTCTTCTATTTCTAATTAGCCTTTAATTCACGTTACAGAGCTTGAGCGTGCGATAGCAGAGCGAGCTCGCCGGTTGGAACAGGCAGAACAAAGTACGGAAGAACCAGAGACTGGTGCCAACCCTACACTGCAGCAGATACGAGCCCGCCTTCGGCATGCAGCGCCCTCTGCGCCAGCGGCCTCTGCCCACTGAACTAACTCAGCCTTACATACATCTAAATAGGAATAGGATTGCCAAAAAGCCACGCGATGAGCAAACTTTACCCTTCCCAACCTTTCTGTCTTTACACAAGTCTTATAATGTATCGAGCTAAGATGCTCTTGTCAGAGGTAAAGACAAAAACGTTGGACTAATATTCTTCGAAAAGACTCGTAGTAATGTCTACTAAACTCAAGGTATGCTAACTTGGTAGTTTACTCAAATTCTAGGAACAGAAATACTCCAATTGAATTCAATTATGTACAACCGAATTTGCGTAAGCGGCCAAGGTTATGCGTAACAACTTGCATCTTACGATTCATAAAGTTGGTACGGCCTCCTTCGAGGACAGTCCTATTGTTCTTTGGATCGCATAGTAGTCCCCGTAGTACTTCACCTGCCAACTTCATTATGAATATTTAAGTCTTACTCGCTCCTTCACAAACCACGTAGTTGTAGTAATGGGACATTAACAACCCGACCTATAAGATCGGGGGATTTTGTACCACTCATATTTGATCCAAGCCCTGTAGAATATAGTTCGATAGATGTTCTACTATCATCGTTAATACTAGTGGATAGTGGCCCTAAAATATCTATTGGCTAAAATATATATTCCACTATAATCAATTGTTACAAAATTTCACTTGTCTCGATATTAGATTCAGAAAAAGATATTTTAAAACAATATGATGTCAGTAGCTCACACACGTAGTAGACACACCAATGTTGTCTGTGATTAGCGCCATCTTTGTGTAGTAGTAGGTAACTCTTACTAACTGTATCACTAACTCAGGGTGTTGGTGGACGTTGAGGAACTCGACTGGGGTCCAAGTGGACTGTATTCAGGGGTCAAGGAGATTTGAAGGGTTATTGTAAAAAGATGGGATTGAAGATATGGAAGTGCACTGTAATTCTAAGCATTGAGCGAGTGTTGCTGATGGTGTGAGTGATACGCTTTGATTGCCAAAGCTTGTTTGATTATAATCGGTTACTTTATTAAATAAGACGAACAGCTATGCTTTAATCTTTTTTTCAATGAAAAAGGTCACTTAAAGTGTCACAATATTTAAAACGGTAGCGATTTATTTGTTATTATTTAGTAGTTTATATAACGGGTGTGGAGACTTCTAACAGCTCGATAATTGATTCTGTAATATTATAATTGATTATGTTTATTTATGCATGCAAATATTTAATTTCAGTAATACGTAATATCGAACAACTATATGACTGAGGATTCGACTGCGTGTGTTGTAATAATAATTATAAGAGGTAATGTCGACTTCAAACAAGAGAATACAAATATTTTTCTAAACTTTTTGACGTCACAAATCTTAACAATTCGTAGCGTTCATTCGTAAGCATTTACTGTTCTTGTTGTACTCTTTAACTTATCTCTCGCTGTACGTTTTAGTGATAACATAAATGTCAAAGTAATAATTGTAATAACTATTTTATGACATTAATTATTATTAGAGAGTTAGATAGATGTTTGCAATTTACAGATGTATGGTTTAGAAATATTAAAGTATAAAACATATTTTATTGTCAGAGTAGAATAGAGAGATCCTTAATAGATTTCCAAACATAATATTGAAGTTGAATTATATTAACCTACAATACAAGCCTAATCAGTAATTGTAATGAATTTAACATATAGCTTTATGGGCACGTAATAATATTTAAAAAATCTAATTTTCTACAGATCCTTGCACGTTAGGCCTTCCTTGATGACTCCAATTAATAGTTGACCAGTGTATTAGAATTTGAAGTGTTCATGAAAGTGATAGAAAAGTATTTTTATATATTTGTGATGCCTGGAGGTTCACTACAGGTTTTCAAAGTTTAATCGATATTCGTAGTAACCCTGTATGACACATGAAAATATTCACTACACGTATATATTAATCAATAATGATGGGTAACGTTATTACGTTGCTAATATAGAATTATTTATAATAGTTCTCTAATATTGTTTTAGTCGCCACCTGCAGAGATATTTGGTTAACGTCCGAATACTGAAAGGTTACTCAAGTTTAAGTTGTAGGTACTTAAATATCGTGGTATCTCTGTCATTTTACAAAGAATAGTGTAGATGACAAATTTTTATTTTAATGTCCGTCTGGTAGATTCTTTTAAAACATTACACACGTATTTTATATTTTTTACAGAAACGAATACCTTCGGCGATATATTGATTTGAAATGTCGAGTGACGTCACTTCTATGTACGTTTTATACGTAGAAATGACGTTTTAGCCCCCATGCCTAAACTTTGATTCGTTATATCTAAGTATCATATAAAAAATACGTGTCTAAAATTTTTCATTTCCTAACTGACGGACTAATTAGTTTTTTAATTTCATACCCTGTCATCATCCCTATTTGTAGTGACAGAACTTGCGATTTAAAATTGAGTAGCGTTTCAGTATTCGGGCATAAAGCTTGCTATTTATACTTTTTGATGAATCTCTTACTATTCGCCCCTTATTTACAAATGCCACCAGTACTTTTTCATTTAGCTAATATTATGTAATTGTATTATGTTCTCTAGTGTGCCTAATTATATAACTTGTTATTTACTTTCAGAGTATTAATTATTTATCGTTATTAAGTTAGATTGTAATAGGATGACGATTCTCACAAAGATACCAAAATTACAAAAAAATGTTCTTCAAGTTAACTATCATTCCACTTGTTATTCTTTCACTTGCTATGATTTCCTTTGTCGAATTGTTTTCATTTTCTGTTAAGATTATTGTTAAGTTATTGTAACTTAGTACAAAATGGCTCCTTCATGATATGAAGGCCAGTTGGCTTCGGAAGCTGCATCGTGGCCATCTTAAGTGCGACATTATTGACGAAAGTAGTGTTAAGTCTCTTTGTATTGATAGTATGACATGGAACCTGTATGGAAATTATTTGCATAGTCAAATAAAAATGTTTTAGAATATTTACTGTTTCTTTTTTGATAGAACCTTTGAACTTGATACTTATATGACGGACAGGAGTGGCTTCTCAAACGGGTCAAACGAAGCGTAACTGCATAGTTTGTTACAGGTAATCCTTACTTATATTATAAATCGGAAAGTGAGTTTGTTTGTTTGTTCCACTTTAACGCCGTAACTACATAACCGATTGCTTTGAAATTTTGCAGACGTAAAGTTAGAAGTCCGGATTAAATAATAGGGTACTTTTTATCCTTGGTATAGATGGCGCTGTGTGTATTGGTATATGTCACATTGGCTTTTTATCCTTTTGTGACGCGAGCGAAGCTGCGGGTAAAAGCTAGTAAAAATATAAAAGAGCAAAATAGATAATATTCAGAAAAATCACCTGTTTTTTGAAGTCGATAATATTAAATAAAATCGCGGGTTACTCACGTGAATATAATGAGAAAAGCTTTACTAGTTTCGAACCACATAGGGGTTCTTCCTCATGAGCAGCGTGCGCGGTCGATAATATTACTAAAACCTTTTCCTAAGTGTAATAAACACTTTTCAAACTGCATAAAAATCAGTTCAGCCAATCGCTAGATAATCACGCTCAAATATACCTACATACATACATACACATTTACACACAGGTCAAAATGAGAACTTCCTCTTTTTGTAAGTCGGTTAAGAATAATTAAAATCCCACACAAAACATTTCCCTGTAAAATTTTCAATAATTATTAGCTCAAGCACTCAGTTAAAAAGTGATTCTAACAGTACCTACACTTAGGTTGTAGCGATATACACTATAGCCGTAGCTTGACATAGCGCAAAGTTCGTAGCGGTGTACCAGTGTTTTCCCGCTATTACTACTGGTTTATCAAATCAAACGACTTAACCTCATCCGCTTCGCTTCAAGCTTCCTTGTGCGTACTGCTAAAGAGTGGAATTCTTTGCCAGAGTCTGTATTTCCTGACGGGTATACTGGAGTACCTGGGAGTCTTCAAGGCCCGAGTGAATAGGTTGCTTATGGGACGACGTGCTCCATCGTAGACCGCATCATCGCTTACCACCAGGCGAGATAGTGGTCAAACGTCGCCCCGTCAAATATATATAAAAAAAACCTATATTTCATATGTGAAAGCTACCCCTCTCATCGAATGAAGAAGACAACACATGATCAATCGACCAAACGGCAAACGGTAGCCAGCTATGAATACTAGTTAAATAACTAATTTAGGACCGGATTTTCAATCATCAGTTAATTCTTAACTGAAGAATAACTTTGAATATTTGACAATACTAAGGCCAGGCAAGTGGTCTCGGGTTCGATTCCCGGGTAGGGCAAAGTATTACTGGGTTTAAAAAAAAATCTCAGCAGTAGCACGGAGTCTGGAATTGTGGCCGGTATATGGCATTAGGCTCACCTCCTATTACACGGGACTCATAACATAATTAGTGAAAAGTGGGTATTACATTGTACAGTGGTATAATGTGCACCTCTGCCTACCCCTTCGGGGATAAAAGGCGTGATGTTATGTCTTTCATACTAAATACTGTCAAATGTCAATTATATTCTACAGTTAAGAATTAACTGATCATTGAAAAATCGGCCCTTAATATTAAAAATAATATAAAATTAAAATTAACTTCGACTTACGTACTATGCGCTACAGACTACGCGCTACGAACTACGCGCTACGAACTACACGCTACGAGCTACGCATTACGAGCTACGCGCTACGAGCTACAGGTAGTATTTCGCTGATACTTATGGGTTAAATTAGGGCTTATGGACTTAGGGTTGGACAACTTGGCCCTTACTTTTAATGAGATCTAATTAATTTTTGACTGTGCGAGCTATATGATTACATTTTGGCAGATTTAATATTTTTTTTGTGTAATTTTGTATTCAATTTTGTATTACATATAGTAGTAAATTCTTGTGAGTGAAATCGCAGGAAAAATAGTATTTAACTTATATTTCCCGATAAGTAACTAGCGTGCAATACTTTTTGACATTAGTTAATAGTGTTAGCGAACTAAACTTTACATAATTTACGTCATTATGTAGTGATTGGACGTTATAAAGAGGGAATCACATTCACATACAACGCAATTCTTATTTTATGCAGCAATTAGAAAATACTACTTTATTTTACTCAATTGATTATGATTAAATTGTATGGTTCAATTGTATCTTTTCGTACCTTTTGCATATAGAATATTAATAGTCCTTAATATTTTTCTATCATTATCAAAGAAGTTCACAGTAAAACTGTCTAGACATGTATCCAAATGTGGCAAACATAATACCTAATATAGTTTGGTAACTGCTACGATGAATTAGTTGAATGGCTACAGATGTTGATGATAGACAACCAATTTTTTACGAAATATCCTTGTTCAGTACCTGACATACGTATTTACTATGTACCTGAAATATGAAAGAAGAGCATGTCTAAGTACTTACCTAGTTACAAATATTTTGTGAACGTTTCTAAAACTTGTGTAGAAAATTTAACATTCTGATTTCTACGAACTAATTCCATAGAAATCGAAGGCTTCACTGACGCTTTGAGAATATCAATATTGTAAGATCTCTACTTAATGGGTACTTTATTGTACATTGACATTACCTACACCTGACCCACGACGTACCGTCGATATCGGATAGTTACGTTCAATTAGAAAAATAATAATCATAATCTTGGTATGTAGTTAAACACTAATTTTAATGACCTAATATTTCAAAATGAC